ACATAGATAATGAAAGAAAAAAACATTTAAAAAAAATTTTCCATCTTTTAATTTGAATCAATACTTTAATCCATACAAATCTTTCCCAGAAAAAAAAGGAATTAATATGCTCTTTTTTTCTTAAAGAAAAGCTGAAATAAAATGCTGCGATGATTAGGTATCAACAATACGATCATTTATTTATGTCATTAAAGAACTAGGCCAATTAGAAAATAAAATAAGTTTCCTTTTGCTTGTTTGTACATTATTTCATCTAATGAAAAAAATTGACTCAAACTGCTAACAAATTTAATATATCTATCATTGGCACATGTAAGAGTTTTATTATTTTTAACAGTTTTCATCTCTTTGCAGCTTTAACCAGACTATTATATAAACTATAGCTCATCCCAACACCTTTGGAATGGTAAAAAATTGCAAACACAGTATAGGTTGTGGATTATTTATACTAAATGACTGGAATGCCCAGAGAACTTTATATAATTATTGATATTTTTGGAAAAACTACAAATTTACAATTCATTCTACCCTTTTTCTTCTTTTTACCTGATTCATAATTATCCTACTTTACCATCTCATCCTACTATTGGTTGATCAATCTGGTTCTGCCATTTCAAAACGAGTCTCTAGCTGCGTTGTTATACCTTCACTGTCCAGGGATTTCTCAGGAAGATCTCTTTTGAAAAAGTCAGTAGTCTTAAACAATTCTGGTGGCTGCCAAATTGCTGCTTCCATCTCAGGTGGCTTTGTGGGAGGAATTTGTTTTTTCTTAATAAAAAACATATAAAAACTGTGAGTCACACAGATTCAGTCAAACATGAACCAACCCATTTTAAGCAAGCAGTTGTGGCAAATAAGCAAAGTTTCCGCTTATAACATTTGGTGCAGGAGAAATAAAGTTAAACATGGAATATAAAAAAGTGATTGGGTGATGTCAATAAAATTATGATACTGAATCTGCTCTCTCTCTCTCTCTCTCTTCTGATTGCCATAACTGATCATAACTGATTTAAACTTTGTAAAGGCTAGTTAAGAACCTGTCATAATAATATATTATAAGATGGGGGAGGGCTGATGCCCTAAATGTTTTAGATAAGTACGTAGTGGATTAAAATCTATAATTCAGTTTAAAACCTCCCTAAAGGTATGTTGTCTTTTTTTTTTTTTTTTGCAGTTCTTTGATTGATAGTCATTGATTTAACAGATCAAAAACAATTTTCCGTGTGATACTCTGATCAAAACACGCGGGATGTTGAGAGAACACGAGAGGAGCGTAGGAAACCACGATGCGTAGCAGAGTGGTTTCCAGCTTCTCGAGTGTTCTGCCAACATCCCAAGTGTTTTGATCAGAGTATCAAACATGGAAAACTGTTTTTGATTTGTTTTATGACATAAAAAATGTGCGAAAAGGTCGAAAAAAAGCAAAGTATAAGTAAATTCTCCCTACGTGCCATCTTATTCAAACTGACCAATGAACGCGCACGATAGTTTAAAATCTGACAGTTGCAATACTTGCACACGCTAAAATGACAATAGCGTGTTTTGATACTCTCATCAAACATGGTTTTCGACCAATCATAGCGTGCGTAGTATCCCAACTATTTTATAAATGCTAATCAGCAAATGAGACATTCAAACTTTATTGGCCATACTTGAATGATAATGGTAGTAAGGCAACTTTACATGGTACAAATTTTCATCACAGCTGTTGTCAGGGCTGTCAACCCCCAAGATATTCAAATCTGGAGAATTTATAGGGAAGGGAAATGACRTCACAGGAAAAAAGCGTGTGAAAAGATGTCATTCACTTTGTAACATTTGATGTGATTGGTTTATTTCTGACCAATTAGATTATCGCTTAAGGTTACAATGGCCTGCTTGCAATAACAGTTTAAGAGGAATGTTTTGATTTTGTTAGCGATGTAAAATAACGCAAACAACGCAAAATAATTGGAATTTTATGGTTGTGAAGGTCGAGTCTCACAAGAAATGGTCTTTAATCTAAATGGTCTTTAATCTCTTTAGTCTAAAATGAGACTTTAATCTGGAGATCGGGAGATACTGTCCAAAATCTGGAGACTCCTGGTTTATCCGGCTGCCATTTACAGTTGTAAGCAAGTAAAAAGTTTGATTTACGAGAAGCAATTCCTATTGTCAGCATGTTGCACAAGACAGTTGTTAGGAAAAGTCAAACCATGTAAATTGGCGTATACTGACCTGCATTAGATTGAGATATGGAATTGCATTCAACACTTTTTTGATGGAATKACTTCCCAGCTCCTCTTCTGCTTTGTCTACTTTCTCTTCAAAGTCATCTACACATTTCTTTACTTTCTCTATAAAAACCTTTAATAAAAAGAATAATAATTTGATAATAATAATAATAATAATAATAATGATTTAATGTTTCTATTGCGCATGTTCCATTGGAAGATGCTCACATGCACATTACAAACATTATATTACTGATTTACAATATGTGATAAAAATAGGATACAATCTAAATAAACAAATAAACAAATAAACAAATAAATAAACAAATAAATAAATAAATATAATAATCAATTATAATGCGGAAAATGCTTTGTTAAAAACATAAGTTTTAGGTATTTTCTTAAAAACTTCAACACTACTAGCATTATGTATTACTGCTGGGAGCCCATTCCACAGCGTGAGCCACTACTTCAAATGAGCGGTCGCCTAGAGTAACTAGAGTTCTGTTTTTTTTTCCAGATTGTTCTCCCATCACAAAACCTGACTAGCTAATTTCCTCCTGTGAATCAATTAGCTATGCCCTGATTTTGATAATCCAGAAGTTGTTTCAGGGTACTGCAGAGGAAAAAACCATTGTAATTGTGGCTCTATTGCTTGTAAATAAATATGAAAATATTTTAAAGTATATTTACCTCAAGCTGATCAATCCGATTAAAAATGGTTGGTAAGGCTTGACACTTTGCACATAGCTCAGGAAGTAACACGAATAAAATTTGTGATGAATCATTGCGGATCTAAACAGCAATAACATTCATTAAATTCTGATTTCACATTTTTTAATAAAGTCAACTTTTCTCTCCTTTAGAAGAGGAGAGATTAGAGCCCAAAAATTGCACCAACTCCTTTCAGAGTGGTGAYATAGTGTTGTTGATCAGGTGTCAGCAAAGCAACCCTCACATCAGATCCTTGAATTGCCGCTCTACCCCCGATAAGGACGTTAATCGTAACAATGGGGCAGTTTAATATATGTCTACAGGAATAAAGGTAATGCGTGTGGGATGTTTTATCTTTACGATATTAAAAATGGCCAAAGAGCATGTAACAGATCATAAGGGGCGTAACGTTATTCCAACGTATTTCTAGGATAATGTAGGATAAATTATTCTTAACATAACAATAATTTTGCGAAATATTTTTACTGTGACTAAAAATGTGAAGCTTCGCGCACGCGTATATGGTACTTGAATGACGACACGTTTGAAAGACTGATATTCGCTTTTCTTACGGTATCTGCAAGGTGGGAAAACTCATCCAGATTCGCTAACATCTCCTCYATACTGTCCTCTAAACCTCGGGTCTAAAAATCGGAGAAAAAGAGGCAAAAAAGCTTGAATAAAAAAGCTTTAAATCTTAAAAAAACAACACTGGGAAATTCAAGTCTTTAAATGCTAAAGCGTAAATGAACGCATTATTTCACTTTTTCGTTTTGAAAATTACCTCATCTGTTATGTCTACTTGACAGTATTTAGAAAAATCCTCAGCACATTTGCACAAATCTAGATTGTTTTCGATCTGCATTTTCACCCTTGTGTCGTCTTCTGCCATTTTGTTTTAGTAATTTGGTTACGAGCCACCGCTGTTAACAATGCCCGTGGGCACTAAAATGCCAGTTTTGACAATTTTAAATAAAGATATCTAAATCAAAGATTGTAGTAGCTCTGCCAGAGATTATTCACTATTATTCATTAAAGGAGTTTTTAGAATATACGTATTTTTTAAGTCGGAGAATTGTGTGATTTTACCCCAGCTCAGAATTGGGTTCCCTGTTTTGTTTTGTACAGCGGTAATCCATCGAAGAACGTCGAGGAACGTTTGTAATTCTTTTTCAGTACTTCATACTTTGTATAATTTTTCATCAGGTCGTATCAACGACCATCTTCTCTTCCAAGATGGTAAGTAAGCTGTTTTAAGTTGACATAACATTTCTAGTCTTTATTTCTTATTCCATTTTTGTCCATTTATTTATAGCCTACGATTGGCAAGAGTTCGAAGATGCTACAGCACATCAACTATAGAATGCGGTGCTCTCTACAAGATGGCCGCGTTTTTATAGGAACTTTTCTTGCTTTTGATAAACACATGAACATTATTCTTGGAGACTGTGATGAATTCAGAAAGGTTAAACCTAAAAGCAGCAAATCACAAGAACGAGAAGAAAAAAGAGTTCTTGGTTTAGTTCTTCTTCGAGGAGAGCACCTTGTATCTTTGACAGTTGATGGACCACCACCTTCAGACGTAAATATCATTAACTTGACATCATTTATATAACTATTTATGTTTGTAATAGTAAACTTGTTACGACAAGCTAATTTTCAATTGATAATCTATAACATGTAGTAATTGCTAGAGAGGGTGATGGTTAATAAGGTAACATTTGGTTGATCGAAGGAAAAAGCCAAATCATTAGGAGCGAATGCAGCACCTGGACCTGGTATGGGTAGAGCAGCTGGACGTGGTATACCAGCACCTATAGTACCTACTATAGCAGCACCTCCAGGTAAATTATACTGTATATCAGACTGTATATGGCAAATGACCAAATAGTAGATAAGTTTATAGATTGACAGAGAGGGTTGATATTGAAGTGCTGTTATGTAGCACATGGAAAGAAGCAAAAACTCTGGCTTATTTGATTAACTGAAGTGGATACATTCTATTATGAGCTAAATGCCATTACAGAGTTCAAAATAATAGCTGATAGTATACAATGTCTAGCCTTAGCACTTGTAAAGCCAAATGCCACATTAAATGGTCACATGTTAATCAGTTTGATATGGATGGTCATCATGTCTGGCCATTGAACAGCTGTTATTTTTTAACCCCACATTTGGTTGATCATGTTATGCAAATAGCCTTGTTGATGTTATGCATTGTTGTGAATGAGAATGACTATAGTGCTATAGTGTACATATTGCATACACCTATTTAGAAAAACATTATCATCTCCAAAGACGATAGGTGATAATTCATTCTAAGATGGAAATGGTTTTCTTAACTACGAACAACATCCAGTCAGTCTTAACACTAAGGTCTAAGGAGAATAAGAATCAGAAACACAATTCATTCCAGATGTTCTTGGATCTTAGAATGACCTTTCCCCTATTCCTTTTTACCTATTACCTATCGCCTCTGGCGATGACAACGTTTTTTGAAATAAGTGTATACAAAATCATGTACTCTGCTAAAACAAGTGATGTTGATGTTATGTCTTGTTGGGATTGAGAGTGGCTGTAGTGTTATGGCACATCTTGTATACATGTACCCCGCTAGCAAGGAAGTTAGAACGAGTGATGTTGCAACTGACACAGAACACAGTATGATTGAAGTACAATTATTATAATATTATTCTCAGGCAATAATCCTTTCTTCACTCCCCAAATCAAACCCTGGTCTGTTGGCACATGCTTTTTTAAACTGACATTTTCTTTGTTTTTAAAATCCATTTAATGAGGTTTTTGCTGTAATCCATATACTTATCTTAGTATGGTAATTTTTTTAAGGTTTGGCTGGTCCAGTAAGAGGAGTAGGAGGACCAGCACAACAGATGATGACACCACAAGGCAGAGGAGGTATGATGTATTATTGAATAATACTGCTATCTTCCATCTTTAAATACATGATTTGAACCAAAGCCAATATGAAACATTTTCCTTTGGGTGGTCTCTCTTCTTCTTTGTTAATTTTTGGTTCTTGATGTTTTTATTTTCTTTTTTTAGCACCTCCACCTGGTGTCCCCCCAGGACCACCAGGTATGATGAGAGGGCCTCCTCCACGCATGGGAGGACCACCAGGTTAGTGACTGTCAATAGTGAATTTTAATAAAAGATGATAATATATAAAGAAAGTTATTTAGCATTATACTGGACTCAAATGAAAACATTGCTTTTGATTATGGAGAAAAACTGTTAAAATGTATTTGGTGTATATATAGTACAAGCCAGAAGTTTTTCAGGGTCCTCCACATATGGGAAATGGACCAGCTCCGTAAACTCGCTCTGTTCGTTAGCATGTGCTTAATTTATGCAAGAAGTAGACCCTGCTCGTATGTGGGGAATATTCTTTTGTTATACCTTGCTTTGGTAGAACCATGCTTTTGTTTGTTGTAGATCAAGCAGGACAGCAGGGCGGTAGAGGTGGACCTCCACCTGGTATGCCACAGGGTATGGGACCTCAAAGTTTAATGGGTAGAGGTGTACCACCTCCAGGCATGGTACCTCCAGGAATGCCACCACCAGGAATGAGAGGGCCACCAGGACGAATGCCACCTCCTGGTCTTATGGGTAGAGGTAATGCAAAACACTATATTATTAGCATATAACCCTCTTCTTTTGATCACATTTTTATCACTTTGATGTAGAACTTGCATAAGGAATATTCAAACTGAACAAAATCAAAAACTCTGCAGTGAAAGTTGAATTTTACATATGGCTTTGGTTTATGTTTTTGAAAACTTAAGTAAAAAATTAAAAAATTCTGTAAGAGAAGAACTATTCCAAACAAATTATATTAATCTTTTAAAATTCCCTCTTACAGAATTTTTTCTTTTTTGGTCAAAAAGAAGGTTTTTAAAAAATTTCACCGTCTGATTCTGGAGTTATGATTTTTTAAATGACATTTTTGATGGCATAACAAGGCTCTTGGTGTTGTCTTAGCAATGTCGTATGTCATTTTTTTCATGTTCATTGTGATCTTTGGTTTATGGTGTTTGGCTTTCTGGGTTTATTTGCTGATATATTATTAGCCATATTATTATTTTTTAGTTCATAATAGTGAGTGTATGTGAAGGTACGAAACACTTTCCAGCCTCCTTAAGTCCAAGACTTTAAAACTTGGAAACTTTGTTTCATGGTCACCTGAGTAAACTCAGGAGAGGTCTATTACAAGTAAAAGAGCTGGGCTCATAATAATGATATATGTATGTTATACATTTTAGGGCCACCACCCGGTATGCGACCACCACCTCGATAAGTAATGCAACCAACAGTCATCATCAGCCGCGACCAATCATCTCCATCTAAACGAAAAGGAACCTACAAGTCTTCCATTGCTTTCAATTTTACTCTCTGACACTAGACAGTTTTAGTCCTCTAGTGTTTTAACTTTTGAACCAAAATGCAAACATGTATATTTATATCTGTGATAATTGTGTAATACTGCAACACAAACAAGCATCAAGTCAAAGTTTTCATTTAAATCTATCTATTAAGTTATAGTGTGACAAAGTATGACCACATTTTGATGTTTATTTGCATACTTCTATGCACTAAATTTCTCTACCAACAGAACTTTTACATGCCTAATTTGGTAAGACCAGCCAGCTTAACATCAAAATATGTTTGTTTAACAGACAAAAGCCAGTGCAAATACATATGGAGGGTCTTATTTTAGCACATGGAGCTGAAAACTGACACTTCATTTACCGTTAACCGTAGATATTACTCATTTTAGTTTTGGTTAACAAGTCTTTTCTTTTGATAACAGTATTGCTATTCATCATAAAATATGCCTCATATACCATTATTTCTCATGCTACCTTCCATAATTTTTTTTTATTAGTATGCCTCAGGTTATTTCTCTAGATAAAGTTTTTTTTATTCAAACATCATGTACATAATTGTCTTGTAAGATTGATTTAATAAATCTGTACTGTTCAAGAAAGGCTGTTTTTTTTTTGTACATGATTGATCCCAGTATATGTTAGTTGTTATTGGGATTCTGCCCCCTTCAAGTTACATAATATGCACCAATTTCCAGCCCTCTCAAAATCCCAGTACCCATCCCTGATAAGCTTATAAATTACAGCTGGTCATCAGTCAAATCTTTATATCAAATTGAGCTGATCCTCGCAGTATGTGAAGCAACTTATTATGCAGCTGCAAATTGAAAGACTCGAAATCGAATGGGATTTGAACCCATGCCCTGGCAATTCTGATGCCATGCTCTAACCACTGAGCTACCACTGAGGACACATTAGGTGGGTTTATTGGCCCGATAGGAGAGATGTGTATGAAAATATATATGAAATATATATTTGTACTGCGGTTGTAATGTATCGAATTGAGCTGATCCTCACTGTATGTGAAGCAACTTATGCAGCTGCAAATTGGAAGYGATCAAACGGGATTTGAACCCATGCCCTGGCTATTCCATGCTCTAACCACTGAGCTACCATCTTTGCAAGAGACGTCAAATCTTTGCCTTGGTCATTTTTACCTGTAATGTTGAGCCAGAAACAAGGTATGACTGAATACCAACTAATTTTGTTGGTAATCATGGCTGGTGACTGGATCAGTTGTTATTTTGAGCCTTGTATCACTTAAGAACTCAAGAGTGCATATCATATATCAGTGAAAAACTTTGTAAGAAATTGCACAAATTATTAAGCTCAGTAGACCAAAGACCTACTAAACTTTGCACTAATTCTTATAATTTTGTTAACTTTTTTCATGGACATAATTTATGGTACAGTATGCACTCTAGTAAAGGCCAGACAGACAAGGATGTCCTTGGTGGGTGAAGCCCTGTATTTTGGGGTTTTTCACCAGTTCATTTTTAAGGAATTCCTGCATGTTTTCACCCAGGTTTCCCATTGCATCGGAACAAAAAATGCAACACCACCAAGAAAAGACAGATTTTATTGACTTGATAAGAATATTCATTGACATACATTAATTCATTAGAAATATCAAGGATAACTGACAAGATGCTGTCAAAGTGTCCAGTACTGCTGTCCTTCATAATTCTAATGAAACATTTTGTTTTTATTTAGCCATGTTTCATAATAATGTTACATGCTGCTAGCAATTTATCACGTGCATTTGTTTTGACTGAATTAGCTAAGTAAAATATTATGTATCGATAATGAATTTAGTGCAGAATAAATTTTGATAATAAATATTTACAAAATGGAAATGTTTCACAACTCTCTTCATTACAAATAATTTATATCATAACTATGTTAATCTACTCCTGTTGATGGTCGTGCCTTTAATATTAGCCTTCCTTTCTAAAAAGATGAATTTAAAGAAGAAGAAAAAAGTCTGCAGGGTCTGGTTTTACAAAGGGTAAATAGCACTATCAGCCAGATACATCTTATCCAGTGGAAAATTTTATTGGATAACAGCATCGACTTATCCACTGAATAAGGATTTATTTGTTGGATAGGGCTATCCAACCTTCATACAACCAGGTCCAAAACAGTAAAAATTATAGAAATAAAACTTGATGGATGGAATGATCTTGAAGTCATTTGCTAGCATCTTAGTACTGGGACAGTTAATAAAATGATTTTTTTGTAATAAAATAAACATCTTAAAAAATATTATACTGCTGATAACTATAAATTTGCCTTTCCAAAGTTTGAGGGTAAAAATGGTGTACAGGATATCAAAACTGTAAAAGCCATCTCCAAACCCAGCCACACAATTAGTGTTACGTGAGGTATATACTCCAAAATATCTATCCTCTACTACACCAGGTTGTTAACTTGTCTCCCTTTGCACTTTGGAAAGGCAAATTTTTGCCTTCAGTGTTTACTTACTTCATCACAAGACATGTTGTAATCGTGTAAGACCAACTTGGTTCTAGATATAATACTAATATACTTTTAAAGTAAATAACAAAGACAAGGATTTTATTATTGTATTTTGTAAATTATTGTTCATCATGAGTCTTCCCTGTAGTTCAGAGAATTTCCTAGTTGCTTTCATCAAGTAACATAAGCTAAGATTATGATATTTCCATAAACRATGATTTGTAGTTTTGAATGTTGTCTATTAGCACTTATTTGCAAAGCAGGCTGTGCACTGACATCATCACCATGCTTTGTTCAATAATACAGGCACAGTTCTTGACCAATCAGAGTGGACATTCTAATTTATTCTAATCTAATACGTTTACCACTCCTGGGTGGATGGCTTGATGCCTAAAAGGCCTTGTGGCACAATTGATAAGGCAGCCGGTTAGCACGGGCACTGAAGTGGATTTGTTACGTCTGCCTTATGCAGGGGTTATATAGTGAAGACAGACGGGGCCTACAGTTTTAAGTCCTTGTCCGAGAAGACTAACCGAGAGGCCTAACCATTTGCCGATATAATTACAAAGGCAGCACCTTCTCCTCAGTTATTTTAAGACCCTGAGTGTTGGTCCGGCCAAAGCTTGAACCACAACCTTTCACACAATAGACCGACTCTCTTACCAACTGAGCTATCTGGGTGGCGGTTCTTTCTTAGCTATACAATAAAATCATTGATCAAAGGATACATGTTCGGTGCCACTACTCTCTTGTGAATTCCACAAAAAACTAAGACAATCAAATTACAGCAACTTATGGTGAACAGCTTATGATACCACAATGAATGCAGGATAGATCCATGCTGAAAAATAATTCATATATCAAATACCACAGATGTTAGATATATAAGAAGCCAAGTTGAACTTTTAAGTCCAAATCCAAACATTTAGTAGGTTCTTTCATCACAAAAATGGATAACAATGATTCAACAATAAGTAGTTTCATAGATAAATCATAGCAAGAATGCCAACAAAATATGATGTAACTGTAAATATTTGTCATTATTTTTGACTACAAGACTACGCTTAGCCTGATGTACTGATGCACTAGTAAATAGTTTTATTATTTGCATTTCAGAACATTAATATTGTAGTAGTGGGTAGTTCTTATGTACATACATGTATAGTATGTAATACTTACATGAACATCGTCTATTATCAAACCCCAGGCACCAAATAACGCTAACATTGACGAAGTAAAAAGAACAACTATAGAAAAACGAAAAGTTTGAGCAAATGATAAGAAAATGATAAAATAAAATAAAAAACAAGCTTTACTTCTCCATCTTGTGGTCGTCACAGTCAGCGATGCAAGATATTCTGTCATCCTACGTTCGAAGGCTTTCAGATCTAGAGATAATAAAACCTGGGATCATTAATGCAGGCTGCATAACCCTGTTAAACTAAAGTTTTTTAACACACCTTCTGTCACATCTGTCGGGTTGTAAAAATCCTCCATCTTGTTTTGGGATTGGTAATGCGCATGCGTGGGGCTGTTAACACAGGAAGCCCAAGCAATAGTCTTCTGTCTTAAAATAAAATTCTTAAAAACTATAGATTYATAAAATTGGACATATCTTACCCTTATGCCGTCGATGATAGACTTTAACTTCGTTTTTAGTGGGATCTTCTAAATTTTAGAGATAAAATTCAAAAATGCACAAGAACAGTGTCAGGGCTTCCTGTGGTTTGGAGCATGCGCAGTAGTGTGTTACTTTCCAACATGTCGTCTTACTGGAGACAAGCAGGGCTCAAGTGAGTAGCTTCTTTAACTGGATTTTGAACTTATTATTTACACTATTTATCAAACAAATTTGGTGTAAAATACTTGCCTAACTTTCATATTAACGTGTTGTATTAAAATATTCTGCGTTACTAAAACCCTTCACATATAAGATTGCATCTTAGGCAGCACATGTAAGAGTACCCGGCTAAGCAATAAAATTTTAGATAGTTCGGCTTGCAGAGATAAAACTGTCAGCTCAATAATCATATGAAAATAATGTCAGCACGAAAAAAAAAATTCTGGTAAAACGTTCAAAAGTCGTTTTTTTGAAACATTCCATAAGCTTATAATATTGTTTGTGACTTTGCTGATTGCATTGCCCATAGTCCATTTTGGGCTTGGTATGCAATATATAACATTAGCGAACGTTTTTTGAAATAGCTGTACATACACTTACCTCTTACTGTTATAAATCTCGCTGTCTGATTGGTTGGGTGTGCATGCACATGACATGCATGTACGGATTTTCTTTGGTTATTTGTTTTGGCAATACTTGCATTAGTCAAATCCATCTGGCTCCAAAGTATGTGAAAGCCCAGAGATCGAATTGGAATTTAGAAATCGATTTTTGAGGGAGGAAAGCTGGAAAACGCAAAGAAAAACCTTCAAAGCAAAGAAGAAAACCAACAAACAACTCTAGTTCCATCATAAAATTGGAATTCAGAAGCTGATTTCTATCTCTAAATATTCTTACATTTTTTAGCTATCTTAAGTATTCTGCAGTCTGTGCAAGGGTGGTCAGACGAAGCCTRAAGCCAGACTTTCAAGCTAATGCAATCAGGCAAGAGGAGTCTGCTGTAAAAGCATTCAAGTGGGAAGATGGAAAACAAATACCAACACCAAGTAAGTATAGTTTATGGTGCATACTTTATACTACTCATACTGTGGTATTATATGGTATACCATGGGATATCCCATGAGGTATTTTCTAGTATACACACAAACCTATGGACATATGATAATACAAGTGACATACCAATGTATTACATTTCTATCCCAAACCATTGAAAATGCACCTAGGCTGTCATTATACCACAGCTTTCCAGCATTCTGATTGGCTGTATTTTCAAATGGTGTGGAGACAATTTTTTCGTAATTTACCTATTACGCATGTTCTTATTTAATATCTGAGCCCATTTCACACGGCTTACTGCCTCATCTAATTGGAGACAGAGAGGTCGAGACAATAAATTATACTAAAATATTAAATAATCATTGGAGCTGTAAAACATTTAATTTAATATGAMACTAAAATGTAGTCTTCTTTTCATCCTTTTCAGGGAAGATTAACCAGTAGACAAGAACCAGGAATGTGCTGTGTGTTTTATGGTGTTTGACAGCTATTTTCATTGATATTGTAAATTTTCCAACTTCAGTCTTGGTGATGAAAAGAAAAAATAAACATTTTCTGCAGTTTTGAAAGTGAAAAATGTGTCTTTTTCATAACATGTTCACAATTTGATCACAGAAGCAGGGCTTAAAATTGCTGGTCAGGTCGAAATCATTGGGCAAATTAGTTTTAGCTCTCCGTCATACCTCATTTGTGGCCCGGATAGGCCTGGTGAGTGAGGCTCATAATACTTGTAAACAATCGACAAGCTCTGGCGCCTTTTTGAATCACATGCGTGTAAATGATGTCAACGTGTTTGATTGACGGCAGTCTATTCCAAATTGCACGTCGCAATTTTTGTCTGGGGAGGCCACGTAGCAATGCAAATGGTGGTAAGCCCTGTACAAGGTATATGGTAAAAAAGAACATACCATAACATGTTAAACCATATACACTAGAGTTAAGTGTAACAGGTAAACCTTCTTACAGATCTAATGTTTATTTCTCACGCTTTACTTTAAATCTTAAATCAATTCATAACTTGCAGACACAAGACTTAATAGTACTTAATGGTACAAAATATATTTACCACTAAATATGACATTGTCAAAGTAATAATGTCTGTTTAAAAGTTTATATTTTTCTAATATTATTTCACAATTTTTTGTTGATTTATTATATTATAATTTATTGAATTATACACTTATTCCCCATCTAAATATGTTTAGCATCATTTCTCATTCTAAATTAATTGACTACTATTCTAGCCTAATGGTTAAAGTGCATACCATATATCAGTGAAAAAGTTTGTGAGAAATTGTACAAATTTAAAGTAAGTCCAGTAGGACCTCAGTAGACCATAGACCTACACAACTTTGCACTAGTTTGTACAATTTTTTTAGCTAACTTTTTCATGGATATATGGTATGTACTCTAATATCCATAAATACAAGACTCAACAAAATGGCACTACAAAGAGTAGTAAGGTATTAAGCAGAGAGCAGATTCATTCATGATCAAATACACTAATCGTAGCACTTCTATTATTCCGTAGATGTCTAACTGATGACTCTGTTATTAGGGCACACTGTTCTATTCCTAAATGAGTCAAATTTGGAAGCCCTGTTAGAATATACTCTAACCCTACCACAGTTACCGATTGACAAAGTGTGAGTGTTATTTCAGTTAGTCCACCCAAGTATTTAACTGCTTCATGTATTCCTTCATCTGTAATATTAACAGACCCAATATCAAGCTCCTCTAAGTTTTTCAGAAACATTGCACCATCCGTTAATCCTTTATTAGTTAATGGGCAATTCCCGACACCCAAAGTCCTTAGGCTTTTAATTTGTTCGCAAATAACTACGAATCCTACATCTAATATATTAGTGCTATCTAGTATTAAATGCTGCAGCTGTTTGAGAAGTTTGCCTATTATCACTGCACCTGTAGAAAAAGAAAAATGCAGTCAAATAAAATTTCAAATTTTTTCAAACCCTGAAACAACCTCTGGGCTGATCTAAGTCAGGGCACAGCTAGCTCCCTGTGCTCCTAATATTATTATTAATGGACTTGGGTAATATGATAGACAGTTTGATAAGCATGTACTGGCCAACAAACCTTTATCTGAGATCCGGTGACAGTATGAGAGGTTTAGGCTGACAAGTTGAGACATTTCCTTTGCAATCACTTCTACTGCATCATCTGTCAGTTTTCCACAGGACATCAGGTCTAAACTAGTCAGGGACTTAAGATTTCTGGCAATGTCTTTAACTCCTACATCAGTAAGCTTTGGATGACTGGACAATGTCAGAGACTCTAGATCATGAAGACCTGTTGCAATAGCCTTGATTCCATGGTCACTCACACTACAGCTACGCAGATCTAAAGTTTTCAATTTCTTTAGCCTGGTGGAGAACGTGCTAATACTGTTATCGCTTATCATGTGACTACTGAGTGTCAATGACGTGAGTTCTGGCATACAATCTGCAATGGTATTTCCTGTCTCCTTTCCAATACTCTTAATTGATCCCAAGTCAAGAAGCTTCAAATTGGGCAATTTCTTCAGTAGAGAAATAATACATAACTCAATATCTTTATCATACTTTTCATCAAAGACATCAAAAGTGAAGTATTCTAATTGGGTTAACTTTGAAATTTCATCAAACATCTCTTCAAGTTGTTCACATTCAGAGACAAAATAAAATTCTCCTCCTCCAAATGACAGCCTTTTCAGTCCGTTCAGTTTTCTAGCAGAAAACGCAATTGTTTCTCTCGTTAAAGATGGGATACCAGTAATGTCTAAGGTCTGCAGATCTAGTTGCTCAGCTACGTGTCTGATACAATCATCATCAATTTTATGGCTGTTGTTGAGATCAAGTGTCTTGATGTGTTTGAGCTTTTGTGTTATATACTGTATTCCACTGAACGTAACCCAGTCACAGCTTGCTAGTTTTAGACAAGATAGTTTAGGACAAGAATCAGACAGGGTCTTTAAACAACCATCGGTAAGTCTCTCACACCATGTTAAGTGAAGTGTCTCTAAGTATTTTAATTGCTTGATCAGGGCTTTAAATCCAACATGGGTGACATTTATACAATCTTCCAAAGCAAGACTTTTCAGTTTGTCAAACGAGCCAACCAAAGCATAATAGCTGAGTAGATTATTTGTCAATTGGCGACATCTACTAAACGATAAATGTTCCAAATTTGTTAATGACTTTAATGTTCTCTTCAGGCACTCTGCGGATAATTGTGGACAGCCTTTGATGTTCAAATGAGTCAAATTCGTGATATTGGTCAACAAGCAAGAAAAATCCTCTTCTGTTGAGCGTAGACATGTATATCTGGTTATTTTACGCGTATTTAGACTGCGTATCAAGGTATCTGATGAATTTAAAGGTAAAACAACAGTGACTTCCTTCCAAAGACGAGGCTGATACACAGTACTTCGCCAGTATCGACAAACCTTGGCTACATTTTGACGATCCGTCAAGGATAAAAAAGAAAATACATGAACTGCGATATCAGCGATAAGAGGGCCTTGTTGGAAACACATGTTATCGTCCATACCTGCACCCGATTCATATGACTATTTAATAAACTCAATCCTTCTTGATGATCGATCGATCGATCGATGTACGCGGGAAAACCAACCCCGTTCGAAATGATACTCACTCCTCCTCTTTCTATTTGTTTGATAAGAGACTGGATCGAATTTCCTTTCCACAGGGTTCCCAGTACATCCCATGTGGCATAGGACTTGAAGCCATGGAAGAAAGGTCTTTATGTCAAGCCTCAGAACCCATGATTCATGTATATAACTTTAGGAGAGAAGCTGATGGAAAAACTTACCATTTTCATGTTCTGAAACTAGAGGAAAGTTTGTTTTTCTGGGTTGGGTCGTGTGCTAAGATGGATAACTTGTGTGTGGCCATGAACACAAAATATGTGAGTAATAATTGTTGATCAATGTTAATATATTTATCATTAATATTATATATGCCATGATGATATGGCAACCATATATCGCAAGGAAGCTTATATATTAGGCTTATTGATACCTTTTCCTATCAGGTGACTGTTGGAAGTTAATATTAAGTTACCTCAACACATGTACTGTTGTAGTACTTTATCATTTTCCTGATTGATTCCAGGATGTTTCTCCTGCTGTATCTATGTTATTGGGAAGTCAAACAGATTCAAGCTGTAATCCACTGGCACAAAGACTTGGTAAGCATTCACTAACACTATGAATTGGGGAGCCAGTCATACTTCAGACTGCTTTGCTTACATTGCTTACACCAATTGAAAGTAGGTCTTATCTGTGAACCTTGACTGACTTGTCATAGTGTACTCTTTCCTCTGGTAACCCTGTGGTTCAACTGTATCTTTTAGCCTTTCCAGCCTTTCTGGAGTTGCAGAAATGGATTGCATTACAGGGCTGTTTTGAGGGATGCTTTATGCATCAAGAAACAAACAAACAAAACAACAAAATTATTAACATTAACACAACAAAGGTTTCCTATCACTTTTCATTATTGGATCAGCAAKTGAAAAAGACCTCCATGTAGGTACTAGATCGTTGCCTAATACAAGTCACCCCATGATGCAATACTTTTTTCAACTCTGGAAAAGCTGATGATATGGTAACCTTGTTGTCCACACATACTGATTGACGTATCAAAATGAACAGCCTGAGGATAAAGTTGATAACATTAACCTGCATGTATATAAGTAGCCTGCGTAGTCCGGGGTTCCTTGTGGGTTTTGGGAAGGTTTTTGGCTTTTGGCTATGCAGGCTAGTACATATGTCAAGCTTAGTTCAATGGCAAAGACCAAGAAATTAAACGTACTTTGAAAATAATGACTTTTGTTTTTGGTTAAACATGCGACAAACGCATGATATTAATATAGATTTGTTCTTCATTATTTCAGCAAAGAAAACTCAAAAACAATGTTTTGTGAGCTTGAATCACACATTGGATGACCAGTCTCTTGGATTCATAGAACAAGCATTGATTGAAGAAATGAAGGAAAACCCTTCCAGGTTTTAATAGTCAATTTATAACATCTGACTAATGAATATCAAYATTTGCAGAAGCCAGAAAACTTCAAGGACAACCAAAGATTTTTATTACTGGTTCAGAAAACATGTTTCAAGCATATATTATGTACATAGTGTATTTACAGTTTTATTACAATAAGACATGTTAGTTATATTATTAGTATTTATGATTATTTAATAATGTAACATCATGTTAGACTAAATTAATGTTTTCGAATTTAATTAAAACTTAGTTTAGATGTCAAAGCTAGTAACTAATTAGAGCCGTAAAATTTTGTTTTTATATTATTTGAAGTTTATAAAACCTTAAATATTGCCTTCTTTGTAAGGGGGTTCAATCTTATATTCAAGACATCATGTGACTGTCGTCTTGCCGTAAACTGTAATGCACTGAAGCTTGTAGGATATCTTGAATTCACTTTGGGCTTTGGTAAAGAGTTAATGATGCAATATGGTTGTTAGGCATCACCTACAGGAATGAAAGTAGATAATTAATGCCAAAAAAAAAACATTTTAAAAAACAAATGTGCATATTTTTGATAACATAATTATATAGCCATCATTGGAATTATTAGCAGGATCAATCTTGTATGCATAAATCTATCATTAAATTTCTAATGCAATTACATTTTAGTTAAATATTCAACAAATTAAATGTAAAATAAAATATGAACAAAATGAATGTACACCAAGAATCAATTTAAAGCATGTGTTGGTACACGTCCCTGAAATAATATGTAATATGGCAAATCAAGAAATGAACCAATTTACCTCAAATACCATCTGCTGGAGATTGTAACAGAATGTTGAGCCAAAAGGGTTGGTTGTGTTGGTGGATGAAGCCCTGTTGAATCATTACAGCAATTAAGTGTTTAATTTTTTTGATGTACATGTACACTTATAGAAATAACAGCAACTTATCATTATTTGACATTTGTCAAATTTAACAAGCATTATATCATCATTGGTGCATTCTGATTGGATGAGCTACTACTAAGCTTTAAGTTATAGCCTACTAGTAGCAAAAAACTAGCTATAAAAACAAAAACATTAAATTTTAATTTAATTCAAAAATAGTTTCCATCTTTATATTTGACTGACTAGTTGGATTGACCAAAACAATTAGACCTTTTGTCCTTTTGGACTAATTGCTTAATTGCTGAAATTTAAAAAACTATCATGTAGTTAATCATGTAGTTCTGTTCTTGCTATTTCAAACTCATACCTGTTTAGGACAACTGGTGCTTCCAAAGGTTTACCAAGGTAATCCTGTACACTGTCCCACTGAAGAAATGAAAAAAAGAAAGCTGATTCAAAATGTTTTCAATTAAAATAAAATAAATATGAGAAAAAATTAGTAAAGAAATTTTTCTTTAAGACAAACCTTACTACTTGGTGTCACAACCAAACAATTTTCATCTTCGAATCCTGAAACTACAAATAGAGCTCTTGCTGTTAGTTTACCAGTCCCTAGTTTGTTTATTTCTCTAAAATTACAGTGTAGACAACTGGCCATTCCTCTTTATGGAACATACTTTTTCTTGAAATTGTAATAATAAGGAAGAAGAATTACTGAATTCTAAATATAAAGAATGTACCTTTTGGCTCCCTACTGATGGGAATTTTGAAGTCACATCTCTGGTACCTATATGTTTAGAGTGCAAATAATATTAAAGTTTTTGCTTTAGCTGTATGGTAACTACTGACTTCTTCTTTTCCAACTTACATGTTAAAGTTGTAGTGGCCTGGGAAATTAGTGTGCAAGATAAACTTCTTGACTTGATGAGTGCAGGCATCAAACAAAATGTCCTACAGCAAGCAACAAATTTATGATTCAGTCACTTCAGTAGAGTATTACAGAGCTTCTCAATCACAAGCATGAAATCGTTCAATTTGCCATCATGACAAAGTAGGTTTTGGTGGATGTCAATCAATGCGTTTCCATATGACATTCCATAGGCACATGTTTTCCGAAAAATGCTGGGAAACACTTTGGTTGGCGTCCACCAAAACTCTAATTATGTCTCGAAAATGTTTTTCATGATTTCGTGCGTGTGATTGAAAATTGCTGTTAATCTAAAACTGGATTTTCAAAGGAACTGTCAAGTGCTTAAAGTAGCAGCCAGACATTGGACAATGCCCACCCAGAATTGGAGCTTGCTAGGTCAAATCTTTGCAGGTAATTTTGACCAGTAGCGTTAAGCCAGAAATGAAGTATGACCAAGCTAAAAGTAATTTGTCCTTTGATCATGACTGGCAACTGCATGATCAGCCTTTATTATAAGCCCTGCTGTGAATTCTCTAAAGCTAAAGAAAATTAATTAGTATTTTTTAAGTGAACCAACTAACCAGGCCTAAGGTGAAGTAGTTGTAGAAGTAATCAGACATTTTGGACTGCGCTAGTTTGTGTGGAGATGGTGCATGGATTCTCATCTAAAAATGTACAGATAATACTAGTTAGACTCGGAATCATGACAATTAACTATTAACCTACTGCCTCTCACCACGCTACGCATCAGTTCATACGAGTAAAATAGCTTGTTGGTTCTCTCCTGTGCTTCAAGGATTTTCTCCAGGTTCTCTGGTTTTCCTCCCTCCACAAAAATCATCTTCTAAATTCTAATTTGATCAGGAATGGAAGGCCACTGGTTTGTTAGCCAGTTTAAGTGCTACCCTTGTAAAACATGTGCAATTTGTATTTATAATATTAAGTGTAATATAATCAATAATTACATAATTTTTTTGAAGAACATTTTACCTTGTCTTCTGCTTTGTAATAAACCTTACATGGTGATCCAAGTGCACTTATCACATCCTATGTTAAGTCATTGAGATAATAAACATCATAGTTTGAATTCCATTTCTTAAGCCACTATCAGTTTTAGTCAAAAACAAGCAATATTCATTTTGTACCTGACAAGAATCTCCAAACACTACCATCCTTTCAAATGTTCTTCTTCTTAACTCTAATATCTTTCCAGGACCAGTCCCTGTGGAATTCATTAATACTATTAATAAACAATTTGTTCATTTCACATCACATTCTCCATAGCCATATATAGAATATAGTATTCTATTACCTTCAGCAACTAAGAAGAGCTTTAAACCCTTGACATCCTCATCTTCTCTTATGATCTCGACACTGTCAGCAAAGCAGTTTCCATGGAAACATTGTAAAGGGAAAGGTGGTGCCCTGACAACACCACAAAAGCAGTTAATAATAAATACAGCACTATAATAGATTAAGTGCCCTTCAGTCTACCTTGCATCAGCAATGCTATTGCCATGGTAAATGGACATGCGTGAGACAGTTGGTGATGCACCAGAGGAGAACTTAAGGGAACCCAGGCCATGTGTGTAGTATGGCTGCCGAGAAAAAAAAACATCAGGATTATAATAGAGCTGGCTAAGCAGAGTGTTTTTGAGTTGCTTCCTAATTGTTTTTACCTCAAATTTGGAATCAATTGGAAATGAAAATGACAATCCTCTGAAGTTGAGAATAAACAGCTGTAGGCTTGGATCGTAGACTGCAATAAACAAAACAACTTAATTCATTTTAATCTATGGACTTGGGTCTTGGATGGATATCAAAGGTACAGACAAAATGTTTTGGTTTGTTTTTTTGTTTTTTGTTTTTTCAATGATTATGGTTGGTGATTATGGTTGGCCAGGGGCATTGTTACATAGGAAAAGATTTTTTTTTACGAAGACGTACAGAATCATTACATGAGCAATGATAATAAATCCATTTGTGTGTCTTAAGGAATGTTGATGATGATATTGCTTGTACTCTTGTTAGCCTAACTTTTAACTGGTTAACTACCTCCTGGGTGCGTGGCTCCAAATGACATGTCAATTTGTTCAATGGTTGGCTGGACTTGAGGAGAATTGAAGTGAACTCCACTGAAATCAATATAAATAAATTGAACATAAGGTTACAAAAATGACACRACACTGCGCCTCTTCTATTGTGACTTACCAATACTTCAGTTTTACTTTGCTCATATTGTTAACTTCAATGATCTGAAATAAATAAGTAAAACAGCTTCACAACAATGACAATTTTAATAACCGTTTTCCAACTTAGATTGAATTAGATATAATTACGGCTACGATATTTACGTCAAATACGTACAAGCATCCATGAAATCATATACATACCTTGAGCCTTTGGCTAACTGAATCAAAAACCAGTCTTATACCATCGTTAGGCATATTCAAGACAAGATCCATAGCTAAAGGATTCTAAATAACAAAGCAACATACACATTAGTACTGCAGCTTGAACGTGTGACAGTAGACAAACTTGCACAGGGTAGATAACACTTACTGCCTCACTGTACATCACTTGTACTGYACGAATAGTTCGACACTGACGTTTTAGGATCTGTACACATTGAGCTACAGGCATGCCTGGCAAAACGAAAGAAACAAATTATTCTCAACCATAATCAACTGTGTTTAAAGATAGATGTATTTTATTTCTGTAGAGCCCCGTAAAGACAAAACCAAAGGCGTCCTTTTGATGATGCTCAACTCACCTAAAATAAATTCCCATTGCTCATTCCCAAGCGATCGCTCTGGAACTACCTCTAGGTCCAACATCTTGGTGTTTATTTGCGATACAAATAGTTCGATAACAATAAAAACAGGATTTAGTCAGTCATTTTTCATTTATTTTGATCCAAGAAAAAATTCTGACATCACTGCGCCATTTTGGACGTTGTTTATATGCGCGGAGCATGCAAATCGTTTATAAACTGCTGACCAAAATAATCGCATCGGTCAGTAACACTACACGGGAAGCCCAAAAATACCTAATGTATAAACTTTGGAACAGTACTGCGGAGACATCTCTCGGAATCTCTCTCGAACAATTTCATTCTTAAAATTGTCCGAGAGAAACAATCTTCGCTCAAATAAACAAATCTCGTATTACATGCAAGGATCTGGAAACATGATGTTAGATTCTTACTTTTTGATTTTTTAAACTAGGACCATACTTCCAGACATCGAGTGCTGAACCGTCGTATGGCAGCGCGAAGCATTTACGGCTACGCCGGAGATTTCGACCCCGACACCGCTATCCGAAGATTTATAGACTGATCAAGAAGCTCGGCCGAAGCCCTATAAGGGAGAGGTTAGTCGGCCCCTAGACCATGATTGATTRACCCCTTGCTATGACCAGCAAACTCAAAATCTTGATTGTGAGGCTGATGGCTTTGAAAGCATACTTCATTCCTTGCCATGTGGGATGAGTTAATAAAACTTAACGGAACGTGCATCATAGTAAATTTGATCTGGTTGATTTCATCTGACTGGGGTTTGGAGAGGGTCGTATAACGTAACTTATGACCAAACATGATAAATTTGAATGACTTCAAACCGCATTTCTACATATAGACGACATAGACACCATAGATGGCTGGAAAACAAAAGGCGCGCGGAAGGAAATATACTGCTGTAATTTACTTAATTTTCCAGTTCCCTTATAGAGTGAAGTCATTAAACCCGTGCAATAGATATTAGACTAATACACATTAGTAGACCCTAATTCAATTGTTTTCTTTTGTGTCTATTTGACTATTACACGTTGACTTGTATTTTTTATTTCACGAGTTAAATGCCTTCGTTCTATCATATAGCACACTATTTTGGTCAATTCAATCAAGGGAATGTTCTCGAACTTTATTTTTGATTTTGATATAGACTATAATATTTGGGCTCCCTGTTGATACATAGTAAGCATTCCAATGTACTTGTCCGTACAATCTTAAATCTTATTGTTATCGTTGTTTTTCTGTGTCTGCTCCTGTTCTATGGAATTCACTACCGTCTCCTCTTAGAAACACTTCATGTCTAAAAACTTTTAAGAAAGACCTTAAGACTCATTTGTTTAAACTAGCTTTTGAATTATAATTTATATATATTTTACAGCGCTTAGAGCCGACTTGTATAGGCGCTATATAAATCATATTATTATTATATTATAATGTTAAGGAGAAGTATCCCACAAGGCATAGCGGGTGTCATAGGAACAACACAAGTGGTGGATAAACTAGGAAAAATGCTGTCATATTCTAAGAATCTTTTGATTTAACCCACATTATCTCTGTTCCTACGGGAAATATTCCACTATGTCAGGCAACGAACCCATCAGCATAGCTTCTGTCAGGGATTACATGTTAAAGAATAACAGCCAAGTTAGGAATCATGACTTGGTCACTCATTTTCGACAGCAACTCAACGACCCTGCCAACAAAAGTATTAATTTATTTGATATCTTTTATATTTATTAATCTCTTTAGGTGTTCTTTCTTACCTTTGTTCCTTTGTTTTTTGAATTTCAGATAAAGTTAGAGGCGAATTCAAAGAGATAGTACATCAATTGGCTACCGTCCAAGAAATCAATGTAAGCTGAAGACAAATATTTGACATCAACAATCCTCTTTATAACCCGCCCAAGATACTGTAGTTATTCCATTTCCTTTAAAATTATTTTTTATTTATTCTTATGTATATATATATATATATATACTGAAGGCAAGGTTAATGAATAAAAAACAGAAAGCTAATATGAGGCTAATACTGAGTAGCTATCAGGTTTTAGGTTTTGTTTTTAAAGTATTTCCTGACAAAAGCATCGAAATATTGCCCTGCTAATCAATCCTCGCCTCAGTCAACCAATTTATATTTAGCTTGGGGCAGCCATCAATAATTTACTGTTTGGTCGGAGTGATTCAATTTAACCAGAATAGATATTACTAATCCTATTGATCCTTTTCCTTTTGATTACTTTAGACTTTTTTGAGTTGTTTGGAAATCAGACTGTTAATTAACTTACTTTAGATTTAGATTGTTTACGTATCTTTTATTTGTTTTAATTTTATTAATATACTTGTAACCTATAGCATTGTATTTACATTATATGTGGGTTTGATTCTAGCAAACTATGTATAAGAATGTATATATATACAGTAAGTAACCACAAGCATCAACTAGCTGTAGGAAAGATAGGTAGGAGAAAGGTAAAAATAAACTATAACACAAGATAGTTTCAGACTATATTTTGTAAGCAACACCTATATTTCGGCTATACAAAACAGCCTTTATCAGGGTGATTGGCTGGTACAAGCACTACACATGATGATGCAAAAAGTGAGGTAATCATGAGAACTAGCACATGCGAGCCCATTTTATAATGTTAAAACTAATGCTCAAAATTTACATAATATCATGAGAACCAATGCATGCCTGTGCATTTTACAACAGTAAAACTAATGTGCATGCTCAAAATTTAAAGAATATATCATGAGAACTAACACATGATTGCGCATACCATTGTTCCATAAACTAGAATTTAAAAGTTGCTTTTTCTGAATAGTTTTAGTCAGCAAGACGTATGAATGGAAATATTATTATTGATGGTTGTTATAAATTTAGAAGTAATTAATATTTTAGACTAAACAGAGATAAGTGGTGACTTATGGTGTTATGCCAGCTGAATTGTCGTAAATCATCACTTGAAATAAGGTAAAGAATGGTATAGTTTTTTAAAAGTCACAACGCAAGTTGTAGGTATAAAACCCCGTTCATTTTATTATGGGAATTTGCACTATATAAATAGCCCTACATTGCAGGACATTGACAAGATAGGATTAGTTTATTCTATAATAGGCATTGTATAGAATCAAATTGGTTGAATATTCTAGCCAGTCACTCTTGGATAATCTTTCTCAGAATAAATAGAACATAGCTTTACTAAAATACTTTAATACGATGGACAACTATTTTATATTTTATCTTTGTTTAATGGTTATGCATCAAAAGACACATGAATATGGATACGACTTGAAGGAAGAATTGCATTCTCAAGAGATCAACATGTAGTATTAAAGGAGGAAACATGTTTGGATAGATTCAGACCATTTCAATTTCAGCAATATTTCAAATTATAAAACTTCTTATTTCCAGGGAGAGAAATATTTTGTCCTCAAGAAACCTAAAGAAGCACCAGCAGTTTTACGCAAGCCGCCCAGACAGCATACCAGTCATAAGAGCCACAATAGACCAGTATCTGGACCTCCCGTCATGAGAAACACCAAGATGTTTGAAGACATGCTGGCAAACCAGATGTCTAAAGGCCATCCTCCAGGTACTCTGGGTTCTGTGGCTGAACATGACAAGGAAAACAAGACTGGTGATGTAAGGGGTCTGTCCAAAAGCTACATGATGAAGACAGCATCTATGGATAGTATTGAGGTAAAACATGCAGCAATGCTTGCTTTAAATTGGTTTTGTTTATGTTTAGATTATCTACAGGGCTTAAAATAACAGCCAGGAACGAACAATTTCCAGCCAGAACTGGGACTTGTCATGTCACATATTTGGCTTGCCAGTGATTGTGACCTGTAACATTTAGAGAAAAAACAAGCGCTTAAAACAATGGCCTGAAAGTGAACAATGTCCGCCCAGAACTGGGACTTGTCCTGTCAAATATTTGCCTTGCCAGTCATTGCGACTTGTAACATTTAGACAAAAAAATAATTAAACACATAAAATAAGTAAACATAATTTGGCCTGTGATGATGACCCGTGACTAATTAATTGTATTAATTTTTCTTGGTCCAGTATCCTTACATAAGGATAACCCTAACCCTAAGCCTAACCTCTAAGGCCAAAGTCCCTTCCTGGACTTCCTATCTGGTAAATAACCTCATGTAACCCTAAGGCCTAAGTCCCTTCCTGGACTTCCTATCTGGTAAATAACCTCTATGTAACCCT